AAAAAGTCTGTATGAACTAAGAAAAGTGTTCAATGAATACATACATAAGTGGACCTTGAAAGCTTAATATCGAATCACATTTTTTGGTCATGTATGTCGTCGATATATATATATTTTTTAACGAAATAGCATTTAAAAAATTACTACTTATAAAAAAGTTGAGTGCTTTATTTATATAACCCGTTTGTTACAAGAAGTTGAGAAACATTTCATAACCAGATTTATGTCATTTTTAAACACATAGAGAGTTTTGGTATCGATTAGTAAAATAAAATTTAAAATAGAAATAAAAATTCGGAAGTTAACCTGTATCAAAAATGCACTTTTTAATGAAAAGTTGAATGCACTACAACCCATGAAAAGTTTTGAATGCAATATTTTTTTTTAGGAAATACTGTTTCAATGCCAACGGTGGTGCAGGGATGGTATTGGGCCTGGAACACGGTATCCACCAGGTTTTCTCCATTAATAAATTATTTAATTAAGAATACCCACTGAATAGACACTGCGAATGTCACAAGAGGATCTCTCGACCCCTAGCTCGGTTTACATCTGATGAAAAAGTACTTGATAGTATCAGCCGAATTTGAGCCCGGGACTTAGTAGGGCTCATCAGTCCAGAGCTTAATTCATTCAGATATTCCGCTTTCCATATATATATATATATATATATATATATATATATATATATATATATATATATATATATATATATATATATATATATATATATATATATATATATATATATATATTGTAATATTTTTATTTTTATCTCTTTATTTATTTTATTTATCTCTCTGTCTGTCTGTCTGTTATTGCCGACGTTTGTCTTTTAAAATCTGAAATCTGTCCTTCTAACCTTTAATCTTTCTGTTAGTCAATTAACCTGGTATTCGTGTATCTATTTAAGTTTGTAAGAATGGGGTGTACAAGCTTAGATAAGATGAGAAGGATAAGGTATATAAGGTAAGACCGCCAAGAATGATAGGGGGACAACCCCTACACATCCAGGGCTCTGCAACCGAGGAGGCAATCCCCTGACATTGCGAGGATAGGATAAGGTAAGACCGCCAAGAATGATAGGGGGACAACCCCTACACATCCAGGGCTCTGCAACCGAGGAGGCAATCCCCTGACGTTGCGAGGATAGGATAAGACCGCCAAGAATGATAGGGGGACAACCCCTACACATCCAGGGCTCTGCAACCGAGGAGGCAATCCCCTGACGTTGCGAGGATAGGATAAGGTAAGACCGCCAAGAATGATAGGGGGACAACCCCTACACATCCAGGGCTCTGCAACCGAGGAGGCAATCCCCTGACGTTGCGAGGATAGGATAGGTAAGACCGCCAAGAATGATAGGGGGACAACCCCTACACATCCAGGGCTCTGCAACCGAGGAGGCAATCCCCTGACGTTGCGAGGATAGGATAAGGTAAGACCGCCAAGAATGATAGGGGGACAACCCCTACACATCCAGGGCTCTGCAACCGAGGAGGCAATCCCCTGACATTGCGAGGATAGGTAACCCTACACTCCCAGGGACAACCTGGAAGATGCAAGGGGGACTGTAGGAAAACAAGGGCCAACCAAGTTATTCCTACGAAAGGAGAGAGGAGGTAGGTTAGGAGAGAAAAGAGAAGGAGGAAGGTAAAACCAAAAAATAACACATTGGTCTGGTTTCAAACTGTCAGACAGAGAGATACCAGGAGCCTATGTGAGAAGGTAGTGACTCGGGAGAGAGTGCCTGCCCTAGGGGCCAGGCTGCTATTTATACTAATAGTGAGCCCTCAGACCTGTGAGAGACAACACTAGTAACAATTATTTTAATTAGGCCCTGAGATCTCTCTAAGTCCAAACTCCTTTTATTTTTATTTAATTATAGTACATGAATACTTATTTTAAAAATATTACAAACATTAGTTATTTACAAAATCAGTAATTACAAAAAGAAATAATAAATAGCTTCTAAATGAAATTCATAGTTCACTAGGAAATTAACAGGTTGCGCTACTAAAATTATTAATCATTATTAGAAAAAACAATGACTTGCATAAATGAATTAAATAGTTCATTAGAACAACGCCTAGAGGGCGCCACGCGCAACCTCCAAAACACTATACCACTAATCATTTACAATTCAACCTTTGACAGAGAAGGACCTCCCGTCCGTTAGCTCTAATACATCGTACCTTTTAATCTTATCGATAGTTAAATGTTATTATTGTTTTTACAATTTCAAATTAAATCACAACTAAAATTAATACAATATCTAGAAATAAATTAAATTTATAAATATATTACATATAAATGCTCCTTTTCACACAGTTCAAAAATAATAAAAGAACAAAACATGAACATGAGTTCTATTAACAATTACAATTTATAAAGGCCCTAATAAAATATGTTACATTTACCCTTTCCTGTGTTTAAAAAAAAAATGATTATTAAACATTTTTTTTTTTTTTTTTATAATTGTCAAATAAAAAATAATTCAGTGATATAATCGTTAAAATTATTACAACTTATTATTTGCTTTTTCATCAAACATTCTTCTAAACAAGTATAAAATTAGATAACAATAGTTTTCAGTTACAAAAGTCGCTATATTAAAAAAAAGTCATATGTTTTATCTCACAAGTAAGCAGAGTGTTTTATTACAAAGATCATTAGACACGAAAAATTTCCTTTAAAAAAGTCCTTTTGGTCTGTACCCGATTGAGACTATCGGCTTTATCATAGTCATTTTATTTTGACTTTACCGCGGAGATAGCTTCTAGGGTCTTCTAGTTCTTCTTGGATTATTCTGCCTTCGTCGTTGATGGCGTGGTTAGGTAGAATCACATCCGTAGTTATTTTCTCCCTCATAGTCTTAGACCATCTAGTAGTCGCCTCTGCTACAGTATTAGGTACTGGTAGTTTCTCTAGTCCAGTGTGCTCCAACTCTATTTTACGGGCTTCCTGGCTTAAACTGACTGTTTTATAGCCTGAATTTACTAAGGCTTGAACCTTCTTATGATTTTGTGTTGTTTCTAATTTTGGATACTCATATTCTTCAATAGTTGGTTCTTCATTTTCTGTGATGGGTTGAGAAGGTTCGGTAGGTAAAGATATAGTTTGAATGTGGTTTACCGAGCCATTGTTCCTTAATTGCCAGTCCTCATGACTATCTTCTGGTATATAAGCAATATTTATGTTATCTTCCTCTTCGGTCTGTACTGGCTGTTTAGCAATTGCTGGCCTGTAGTTCTCTTCGAAAGTCTGATTATTTATATTCTGTCTTGCCTGTTCATCAGGATATGTTTTCTGTTGATAGCTGTTGACAGGTTCTTGATTATTTTTCTCCCTTACTAAGGTAATTTTGTTCACTTGAGGATTGGACTGATTCCAATTCTGGCTTCTATCAAAGTTTCTTCTCTGTACTGGGTTTGAGTAGTTTTTACCATAAGGTCGCAAACCAGTGTTGTACTGACTGGTATTCATTTTTTCATTATAAGGTCTTGAAGGCAGGTTATTTCCTTGGTCCTTCACCTGTTGATTAGTTTTCATCTGAGGTGGCTCTTTATCTTCAAGATATCTAGCCGAAGGCCTCTGGTAGGAATTATTTTCCTTAAGAATTCTTTCTCTCCCAAAACGGTTTAGAACCTCCAAAAATCCATCAATACTATTAATGCCTTGGTATAACATTATTTCTTCGATAGTGTTCCCAAAATGTCTTGCCATAGATTTACAGATGAATTCCTCGTCAAGCTTATGTTCACATGCCCGAGCTCTTAGTATCATATTGCAGAAGTACTGCTGCGGACTTATATTTGTGTGGTAGAAGTAACTTCCATGATTCAATTCTTCCCAGAAAATAGGATCATATTTTCCTCTCCAAAATTTACTTAAAAATTTTTCACTGAAACTGTCTATTTCATTTATTTCAGTTTCGTGCATCAGCCACCATACTAATGCCTCATCTCTTAGGTGCTGTCTGATGAAGTCCTGAAATATTAGTGTGTGTCCCCATAATTGATATTGTGATCTTAGAGAGTTATTAAACTCTGTAGGAATGTCCTTCTTACTGTTCCTAAAGAATAAAGGTTTCTGGTTCATCCCTTTATTTTGCTGAATCAACGTTGAGTTCAGCGCTTTGAACATGTCTGAGATACCACAATTACTGGCTATTATACTTGGCGGGCAGTTGGTATCAGTTCGTAGTATATTAGGAGTTCTTGGCTCCATATTTACAACTTCTATAGGTTTGTTCTTCTCTAAGATGTTAATTCTTTTGCTTAGAGCTTCTATCTTTTCCTCATGGGTATTTAAGTCTCCCTTTATCTCCTCATTTACTTTGTTTACATGTATTCTTAGGTTTTCATATTTTTCTGTATTTTCTATTTTATTCTGTTCAACCGAAGTGGTCAGTTTTGTCTCAAAGTCAAGTTCTATGTTATTCAGCCTGTCTTCATTCTTCTCAATCCGGTTGGTCAAATCAGACTGTATTTCTTCCATCCTTCTTCCTAGTTTCTTTGCTACTAGGTCTATATTATTTGTTACATCTTCTAGTTTTTCATTTAATTTTTCAGACTGATTTCTGAATTCTTCTGATATCAGTTGTCTCATCTCGCTTCTTGATTCTAAAGCCTGTTCTTTGAATCCTTCTGATATTAGTTCTATTTCGGTTCTTAATTGTTTTGACAGTTTAGCAAACATCTGTTCCATCCACATCTCTGTGTTTCCAAGTTGTGTCTTTGTTTGACCTTCTTCATAATCTTGGGACATTTCTTCGGTAACTGGTTCGTTAATGTTATCCATTTCTAACCCAAAGAGTCGGTTATTTTAATCGTTCCTTTACAAGGGATGCCAAAATGTAATATTTTTATTTTTACGTTTAATTTATCTCTCTGTCTGTCTGTCTATTTTTGCCGACGTTTGTCATTTAAAATCTGAAATCTGTCCTTCTAACCTTTAATCTTTCTGTTAGTCAATTAACCTGGTATTCGTGTATCTATTTAAGTTTGTAAGAATGGGGTGTACAAGCTTAGATAGGATGAGAAGGATAAGGTATATAAGGTAAGACCGCCAAGAATGATAGGGGGACAACCCCTACACATCCAGGGCTCTGCAACCGAGGAGGCAATCCCCTGACGTTGCGAGGATAGGATAAGACCGCCAAGAATGATAGGGGGACAACCCCTACACATCCAGGGCTCTGCAACCGAGGAGGCAATCCCCTGACGTTGCGAGGATAGGATAGAGACCGCCAAGAATGATAGGGGGACAACCCCTACACATCCAGGGCTCTGCAACCGAGGAGGCAATCCCCTGACGTTGCGAGGATAGGATAAGACCGCCAAGAATGATAGGGGGACAACCCCTACACATCCAGGGCTCTGCAACCGAGGAGGCAATCCCCTGACGTTGCGAGGATAGGATAAGGTAAGACCGCCAAGAATGATAGGGGGACAACCCCTACACATCCAGGGCTCTGCAACCGAGGAGGCAATCCCCTGACATTGCGAGGATAGGTAACCCTACACTCCCAGGGACAACCTGGAAGATGCAAGGGGGACTGTAGGAAAACAAGGGCCAACCAAGTTATTCCTACGAAAGGAGAGAGGAGGTAGGTTAGGAGAGAAAAGAGAAGGAGGAAGGTAAAACCAAAAAATAACACATTGGTCTGGTTTCAAACTGTCAGACAGAGAGATACCAGGAGCCTATGTGAGAAGGTAGTGACTCGGGAGAGAGTGCCTGCCCTTTTTTTTTTTTTTTTTTTTTTTTTTTTTTTTTTTTTTTTTTTTTTTTTTTTTTTTTTTTTTTTTTTTTTTTTCCGATCCCTCTGAAACAAAACAAACCATGATATCAGTGTCATATCGGACCAGTGCACTAGCGGAACGATACTTTGAATTACCTTGACCTTTTTCTACCTGTGGTATTTGAAGGTGCGTTGAATGATTTTTGTTTGTTATCTCTTCCTGTCCATTTAAGGTCTTGATAAGATTTATGGAGTTGAGGGTCCTCCGCTCGTTAAGTGAAAATATATAAAATAAAATAAAAATTAAGCATAACGATAAAATAAGTAGGGGGGGGGGGAGGAATAGGGATATGGATAGGGATGGGGAGGGGAGGACTAGCCGTGAGGCGGGTTAAATGATTATGTTGGTGGGGTTTATTGGACCCTTACGGCCTTGCCATCTGGCAGGGAGGGGGGATGGGGTGATGGATCGGAATAATGGGTTAAAGGATGCGGGGAGGTTGTCGAAGAACTTGATATGTCTTCTTGAAATATGTTGTTGCACAAAGTCGAGTTGTAGTTCGTTATGTATGTGTTTCATGTTTCGTCTTTCTAATGTTGTCCCTTTGCAGATCTTCATGAGTATGCTGTTCTGGTATTGTTGTAGTTTCTTCAGGGCTGTGGGATATAGGTAGTGTAGGAGGGGGGCACCGTGGAGAAGTGAAGGTCTGAGTATGGCTTTATATATGAGTAATTTGAGTCTGAGTGACAGCCCTGGAGAATAGAGTAGATGGCGGAGTTGGTATGTGGTAGATTTTACTGTTTGTATTCTGTGTTGTATGTGCGCTGTGAAAGATAAGTGTGATTCGAGTTTTATTCCTAGGTATGTGAGATGTCTTTTTGTTTTTATAGTTTGACCGTTAAGTTTAGGTAGTTTTTCAGTGGTTTTCTTGTATGAGAATGTGATGGCGTCGGTTTTTGCGGGGTTGATGTGGATGTTTATGTTTTTAAGTTGGTCTATGATCAGTTGGGCTGCATTTTGTGCTCGGCGCATTGCGTGTTTAGCTCCCATGCTTGCTGTGTAGATAGCAATATCATCAGCATAAGCAGCTATTTGAACTTTGTCAATTTTGGTCCCAACTATTTGGGCAGTGTAAATATTAAATAGGATAGGCGCCAGAACTGAGCCCTGGGGGACGCCACAAGTAACTGGCCTAGGGGGTGACATGTCAGTTTTGACTCGAACTGAGAAGGTCCTGTCACTGAGATATGAGCCGATAATATCGACTAGTTGTACAGGGAATTGGTGATGCCTGAGTTTATCGATAAGGATGGAGTGGGATACAGAATCAAAAGCCTGTGTGCAGTCAAGGGAGATCATGGCTGTGGCAAGATTTTTATTTAGGTTATTAGCTGTTTCGTACTGTAATTTAGCCACGTGGTGATAACAGCTAACGCCGCGAGAGAACCCAGTTTGTTCAGGGGGTACAATGTCATGTGAATCGCAGTGTTTTCGGATGTGGATGAGGATTAGTTTCTCATATATTTTTGAGATGTGGTCGAGGAGACTGATCGGCCGATAATCTTCCGGGACCGCTCCTCGTTTCCGGGGTTTGAGGAGTGGAACGACAATAGCATGTTTCCACTCCGTTGGGAAATATCTGAGGCGTGAGCATGAGTTAAAAATGTTAAGGAGAAACATTAGGGTTTTACGGGGTAGTTGTTTGATAAGGACAGAAGGAATATTGTCCTTTCCAGCAGACTTGTTTCCCTTTGTTTTTCTCAAAATTGCAGTCAGGTCTTTATATGTGGAGAATATTGTGTTATTTAGGTTATCCGTGTGGGAGATGTGATGATAAATGGTGTCAGTACGGGCATCGTCTCGTTCTACGTAGTAGTCTGATAGAATGCTAGCCTGGTCTGCAGGAGTGAGAAGCTCATCGCCTCGAAGGATTTTCACCGATTTGGATTTGGTGTTGTGGCTTCTGACTAGTTTCCAGAATTTTTTATGGTCGTTGTGGGTCCGGCGAAGTTGTTCATGCCATATTGACGTTTTCCACTGCGACATAAGGGATGTTATTTGTCTAGTAAGGCTGTTTATGATAGGTTTGTAAGTAGGGTCTTTAGTTCTGTACCAGCAGTTCTTGATGTTGTTACGTTGTTTTATGATTGATAGGATGTGTTTTGGTGGTATGCGAAGGTGAATTGGAATGGGGTTGAAGGTGGGTATGGTGGTGTTCGCTGCATTATGGATAATGTTGTGTAATGTACTAATGGCGTTGTCGATGTCTATAGTTGTTGTAAGTGTCGTGATGTTAGGTGTGTCACTATATACTTGTGTCTTGTATTGTTTCCAGTCAGCGTGTTTGAAATTGTATTTGTAGTCTGTGGGTTGAGTTAGGGTTGAGTTATGTCCTAGTTCGTATAGTACAGGTATGTGGTCGTTGTTGCTAAAGTCTATCGTGTTGCAGTTTGTGAATCTGTGTGGTTGTTGTGTGAGTAGTAGATCAAGTGTAGACGTGATATTTGGGTTAGCATGATGTCTATAAGTGTATGCATTAGGGTGTATGATTGTATAAGTAGATTTGGTCAGGAAGTTTCCTAATGCATTAGAGTTTGTGCAGTTCCATGTATGGTGTTTGGCGTTGAGATCTCCTACTATTATGTGACGTTTGTCTGTCTCGGTGTCCTTCAGAAATAGTTTTAATATGTCAGGTTTTCCACTAGGACTACGGTAAATGCATGTAATTTTGTATGTATGTTCAAGTTTTACTTGTATAGTAATTGCTGAGTGTTTGTCGTCATTTAGTGTAGTGTTGTTTATTAATCTGGAAGGGACGTCATAACGCACCAGAAGTGCGACGCCACCATGTGATGGGGAATCTAGTCGGTATATGTGGTACCCGGGGAAGTATATGTGAGTTAGTTTGTTGATTCGTGTATCAGTCAGTGCAACGACTGATGGCTTGTGGGAAGCCAGGAGAGTTTCTAGCTCAAGTTTACGAAGCATGAGCCCTGTTATGTTATAGTTTATAATCAAATGTCTAACCATTGATGTTTTTTTGAAGTATAAGGTTAACTGTGTTTAATAGGGTTGTGAACATGGACTTCATGTCCCTGAACATGCCCACGAGTTCGGAGACCCATGGGGGCTGTTCATAGGGTGGGGATTGGGTGGTGGGAGGGGGAGCTAGGTGGGCTACTCCCGCATAAGAGTCGGGTCTTGAGGTGGTGGGCGGAGCTTGTGATGCTTTACCCTTTTGATCTTGTCTGGGGTTTGGTGCTGTATTTCTTCCAGCATGAGCCTGCACTATGTTTTGTAATAGTGCAAGTCTTTTTTCGCAATTGCGATAAGAGGCCACATGAGGGCCCTGACAATTTGCGCATTTGAGGGGGGTGTTTCGGGAGCATTCGCTGATGTCGTGGTGTTCACCACATCGTACGCATTTTATCTTGCGGGCACAGTAATTTTTTGTGTGGCCAAATTGCTGACAGTTGTAACACTGCCTGGGACCATTGATGTTCCTCAGTTTCTCAACTGAGTACCCCATATGGTCGATTGGACCAACTGCTTTGAGGTTGTCAATGGTAGTGTCAGGGTCGGTCGGGACTATAATATGTGGCAGTTCTATTTTGAAGCCATCTGCGTCGGTCTTTTTCATCCTCCATACAGATTTGAGTCCGGGTAAGCGGGCTTGGAGGGTTTCAGTAATTGAATCAAGGTCATGGTCAAGGTCCAGACCTTTAATGATGAATTTATTAAGCGGCCTTGAACCGCGTGGGGAGTAGGTGTGAAAATGAATTTCATCGCTGACATTTAGGACATGTATTGCAGCTTCGTAGTCTGGTTTGAGGTCCAAATACAATTTGGTTTCGTCCCTATTTGAACGAATGGTAAAGTTTTTGATTTTAGCATCTAATAGAGCTTTTCGTAATGCCATAGCGGACATTGCTGGTCTGATAATAATAGGAGGTGGTTTAAACGTTTTTGGCGTGGTAGAGTTTTTGTATTGTGTATTGTTACTACTGGATGGTGTAGGGTCCGTGTTATTATTCATTGTCTGTAATGCAGAAAAACTGTTGGATGTTCTCGTCGGTATGATAGTTGGTCTTGGTGCGTACGAAATTTTCTTGGGTATAATGTAGCCTTCAAAGTCAGTATTTTCGTCCTGATTGTACCTTTTCAGTTTATTTGTGGGAGAGTTGAGGTGTTCCATTGTGCTATGTTGTATCTGTGGGTCATGTTCAGAGTTGTTGTTAGTAAGTGGTGGCGTCATGATGGTGATTTAATAGAATTGTAAGTTAATTTAGACAAATTAATTAACCAAAAGGTTAATAATTAAGCTACGTACTTACGTGAACCTCACATAATGCAGGAGCACACAAGAACGAGAAATAAACAATACGGAAAACCGTTAAAAACCGTTAAAAACCGTTAAGAGCTGTAGTGACGTCACCAGCGATGTACACTGCAAGCAAGCCAGGAACAGAATGATGAGTGCCTGCCCTAGGGGCCAGGCTGCTATTTATACTAATAGTGAGCCCTCAGACCTGTGAGAGACAACACTAGTAACAATTATTTTAATTAGGCCCTGAGATCTCTCTAAGTCCAAACTCCTTTTATTTTTATTTAATTATAGTACATGAATACTCATTTTAAAAATATTACAAACATTAGTTATTTACAAAATCAGTAATTACAAAAAGAAATAATAAATAGCTTCTAAATGAAATTCATAGTTCACTAGGAAATTAACAGGTTGCGCTACAAAAATTATTAATCATTATTAGAAAAAACAATGACTTGCATAAATGAATTAAATAGTTCATTAGAACAACGCCTAGAGGGCGCCACGCGCAACCTCCAAAACACTATACCACTAATCATTTACAATTCAACCTTTGACAGAGAAGGACCTCCCGTCCGTTAGCTCCAATACATCGTACATTTTAATCTTTATCGATAGTTAAATGTTATTATTGTTTTTACAATTAAATCACAACTAAAATTAATACAATATCTAGAAATAAATTAAATTTATAAATATATTACATATAAATGCTCCTTTTCACACAGTTCAAAAATAATAAAAGAACAAAACATGAACATGAGTTCTATTAACAATTACAATTTATAAAGGCCCTAATAAAATATGTTACAATATATATATATATATATATATATATATATATATATATATATATATATATATATATATATATATAAGTATCTGAAGCCTTCAAAGTTCGAACGGGCTTATGGCAAGAAGATGGACTATCACCGATGTTGTTCAACTTAGCCCTGAAGAAGGTAATAAGAATAACATCAAAGAAAAATAGAGGGATTCACGTTGGAATCATAAGGTCCTTGGATACGCAGATGATATAGCTGTCCTTGGAAGTAATCAAGAGAACATTGAGAAATTCGCCAACTCTGATAAGAGAAGCAGAGCAGAGCAGCAAAGTAAATGAAGACAAAACAAAATACATGATAATTAGCCAAAAATTACATCCAAATCTGGGTAGAAGGAAAATCAATCCCGAGAGTAGAAAAATTCAAATACCTCAGCTTCACAATTACCCCAATGAATGACCATCGGGCAGAAATATACCAGGTTATAACTAGCGCAAACAGAGCTTTCTTCATCCTCTCAAAGGTATTGAAATCCCGAAAAATCTCAAGAAATCTCGTACAATGTACAATGCTATGATAAAGTCAGTTCTAATATATCGCTGTGAGACCTTGACACTAACCAGCATTTTAGGAAAAAGTGTTGGAAGATTTAAGAGAAAAATCCTCCGCACAATAATCGGAGCGATCTGTGATAAGAGAGCTAATACATGGAGAAGAAAGACCAATAAAGAACTGCTTACAAAAACTGGTCAATCTATATTCCATGATATGAAGGCACGGAGATTAAGATGAATGGAGCATGTAGCTTGTAGCAATCCATCTGGAAGCCTCTACGTAACAATCAATGCCAATAGAAAAAACCAAGATGCAAGATAGCTGCGTGTAGTAAGGTAATTTTTCTTATTTTCTTTTTAAACTTTTATTACAGTTACAATAATGGTATTAGATTTTTTTTTTATCTTGACTCGTGTTCACATTTAGTAACCGAAATTCATGCGTTGAAATTAAAATAGAGGACATTTCGTAATTGCGTAAGTATTTAGCTAAGATCACTCAGAAAAAGTCTGAAACAATAAAAAAAAATATTATTATTATTATCATTTTTTTAAATCCTTCAGGCCACTAGTATACTTTAGTACACAACATTATTTCGGAAAAAAATATATAAATCTAAAGAGAAGATAACATAAAATTTAGAAACCATATTATACGAAGGGAGGGAGGCTTAATTGAGAAACGATCGTTGACAAGATTCAGCAGTTTTATTTTGAATTTAGAGTATTTTTTTTTTTTTTTTTGGTTCGCTACAGCTTCTTCTAAATGACACTAAAAATATTTAGTATATTAACTGAATGGTCTCTTAAAAAAGAAAATTTATAACAAAATAGTATAAAATCAGAGCTTGGACCCGCTATTGGGATGAAGATTACAAAAAAAAAAAATATCTACAATATATTAATACATTTATTTTCCTGTTGTCTGAATTGTATTGTAATAAATTAAAAAGAAAAACACAGTTTTTATTTTTAAAATGTGTAAATAAAGATACTGCTTTCTCAAAAATATATCATATAAAATGGTAATAAATCAGTGTTGTAAACACAGATCTCTATTATGTAAATTTTTTTTTGGAAATCTTTTTATATTAACTGAGAAACTAAATATTCCTTATCCTAATGTTTAAATATTCATGAAAATAATTCAAACAAGTGTAGGTTTGTTTAATAAAACTTTAATTTCCTAAAGAAGATCAAACCGTGGTTTATATCAACATTTTTGTACCTCTTGAGGTTTTTTATCACCTCTTTAAACATTTCCATTGACTAACGAGATACTATGTATAAAAACCCAAATATGTCTCATCAAGAAAAATATATTTCCAAGAGTAGTATTATTTATTGTGGAAATTAATAAATACTCCTACAATTCCCTCCACTTTCACTTCTTAAATTCCGTGAAAACTCAGCTCCTGACTATATTTAAAATAAATTCCAATTTTCAGTGATTACTTACAATTTGAAGCGTGAAAAAAGGAGAAAAATATATTAGGTTCCCCCTCCCTCCCCGGACGAATAAAGTAAGATATTTTGAAGAAAAAAAAAAAAGTTCAAAAGGCTTCAAAATTATTAGACAGGATAATGAAAAAATATTCCCGGAATAAAAAAGAATAAGGAGAAATGAAGATGGCGGAGGTGAAAATAAACGGACCTTGCCATGTTGCTGTGGGATCTTTAACTTTGAAGAGTATTAGCCTTGGAAATGAAAACGTAAAACCCACCGTTCTTTTTAAAATATAATCCATTTTTTGTTCTGTTTATTTTGGAATAGCGGACACTACCTTAAAAACTATAATTCATGAAAATATAGTTCTCCTAGAGAAAAAATTATTTATAATTCAAATCTTATGGTTAGTTAAAAAAATATTAATATACTTAAACTTACAATTCCAATCTTTATCCAATTGAGTTAATAATGAATTTCCTCACTATCATAAAAATAAATAATAGATTCAGATAGATGAAGAAGAAATATAGGAAGCAATAAAATCACTTAAAAATAATAAGGCCTCTGGTGAAGACGGCGTCCTGGCAGAAATGTAGAAGTTGACGGATGGCGACTTCAGTAAGAAATTCATGAAAATGCTTATGGACGTTTGGGAGAAATAGGAAATACATGAAGAATGGAAAACCGCCTTAATACACCCTTTACATAGAAAGGGGTCCAAAACTAATGCCAATAACTATAGAGGAATTTCACAACTATCAGTTACGTATAAGATCTTCTCTAAAGTCCTGTTGAATAGACTGGAACCACAAATAGCAGAGTACTTGCTAATAAAAAGGAAAGAAAAAGAATAAAAAAAAAAAAAAAAAAAAAAAAAGGTCAGGAGCCATAGTAGAGAGCAAAACAATCAAAGAAAAGTGAGCTATTTGGCTTTTGCAGACGATTTCGCACTTTTGGCAGAATCAGAAAAAGAGGCTATTAGTCAGATAAATACCCTACAAATAATAGCAGGAAAAAGAGGCCTACAAATATCATACGAAAAAAACAGAGCTCTTGGCTACTGAAATAAGTTTTTAAAAAACCCACTAAATATAGAAAAATAAAAGCGATTAGAAAATTTAAGTATTTTGGGAGAAATAATATGTTACAACGGTTCTGAGAAAGAGAGCATCCGAGAGAAATCACAAAATCAGAAAATTTATGCTTTGAAACAGATAAAATTTACAATAAAAAGGAGCTCTCCTAAAATGCAAAGTTGAGGCATTACAACGTTGTGATGAAGACTGTCATTTTTTAGGGGATAGAGACCACATGCCTGTCCAACTTGAAAATGCTGCTAAGAATAGAAAGGAGGCAGCTAAGAAAAATCTATGGGTTCAGGAAAAACAAGAAGGTTACAGGCGAAGAGATATAGAGAAAAATCAAAGACCTGGAAACCGAGATAGGAATTAGAAGGCTCATGTTCTATGGGTATTTAAAAAGGATGAACGAGGAAAGATTGTACATTTTTAGTATGACAATAAAAACAAATATTTTTTTTACTTTCCTACCTATACTAGGTAAGGAAAGTATTGCGATGGGGTCAAATTTTCCACATGCGGTTTTCGGCGGATTTATACGGATTATAACGAAGTTACAGCTAATAAATTTCGTATGTAAGAACATTGGTCTAAGTGGTGAACCAGAGAAGAAAAAGAAAAGTAAGTGAAAGTAAGAAAATCAGTTGCCCGCACCATACAAGTTTTCTTACTACTTTTAACAGAAACTTTGACAATTTTTAATTTTTAATTGTTTTTGATTAGAAATATTAGCATGTATTGAATTGTTTATGCTAGTCGAACAATAGTCGGTTTACATTGCATTAATTTCTCTTTTTTTACCCCCAGACGTGAGACCATCACATTCACATTGTACTGCAATGGTTTTGACATAATGCATCAACAACTTGTCAAAAAACAGCCTGCAATTGTTAATCATAAGGGACCTATACTCTACCAGACCTCATGTTTCACGACAGACAGTGAAGAAACTAAACGCTCTGTGTTACGAAACTCTTCCAAACCCACATTATTCGGTAGAATTATCTCCAACAGATTTCTAGCTGTTCTGAAATTAGGACAACTTCTCTAAAGGTAAAAG